GTAACATAACAGCTCGCAAGCTACGTACATTCAATCATATAAACTGAAATATGTCTAATTTGTTCCAGGAAGACAGAAATATCATTAAAGGATCTTTATGAAAGGTTAGTATTTTTTTGCTCTTGGGTTTGTGGTTGATTTTCTGGTCGAAAATGAAAACTCACCTTTCTATACAACATCATATACAAACTGTAAAGGGGAAGTAGCACCTATCTAAGAAAAGTCTCTGTAAAGTATCACATTCTCTTCATATACTTTACTGTTACATCATATCCATCCATACATGTATATAATATTTACAATCTGTCTCCCCCACGTTCGACCCTAAAGAAGGTAAAGAAACAGAAAGACCGGAAATAAAGCTCACAGATATTATCTATGTAATAGTGTTTATTTTTTGTTTCAAACTTGCAAACCAGGAAATGTCAAAAATGATCCCATTAAAGGAACACTATAGTCACCTAAATTACTTTAGCTAAATAAAACAGTTTTAGTGTATAGATCATTCCCACTGCTCAATTCACTGTCATTTAGGAGTTAAATCACTTTGTTTCTGTTTATGCAGCCCTCGCCACACCTCCCCTGGCTATGATTGACAGAACCTGCATGAAAAAAACTGGTTTCACTTTCAAACAGATGTAATTTACCTTAAATAATTGTATCTCAATCTCTAAATTGAACTTGAATCACATACAGGAGGCTCTTGCAGGGTCTAGCAAGCTATTAACATAGCAGGGGATAAGAAAATCTTAATTAAACAGAACTTGCAATAAAGAAAGCCTAAATAGGGCTCTCTTTACAGGAAGTGTTTATGGAAGGCTGTGCAAGTCACATGCAGGGAGGTGTGACTAGGGTTCATAAACAAAGGGATTTAACTCCTAAATGGCAGAGGATTGAGCAGTGAGGCTGCAGGGGCATGTTCTATACACCAAAACTGCTTCATTAAGCTAAAGTTGTTCAGGTGACTATAGTGTCCCTTTAATATATTCTTTATCTATTTCTACATTTTTATTTTTGTATTTTTTTTTTAATTGCGACCAAATCGTTAGGGTTCATTGGATTTATCTAAATAAACAAACATATAGGATTCCGCAATTCTAGAATTTTCATTTATACCTCTAGAAAATGTTCTCTTCCTTAAAGAGTAGATGAATTTTTGTTGCCAATTATTACAAAAATCTGATTTAATTATCTCAGTACGAGCAGGTTATACATGGGATTTCTGTTAAGGGGAGGGAAACCCTCAGCATAATTTGTATTATGTGCTTAGTCCAGAACGGATTCAAGTAGGCTTATTATACACAGTTTACAGCTGCTATGTGCGTTGTGTATATTTGGTCGCTGGTTTCCTCTAAGATGTTCTTGCTGCTTTCCAGGAATCTTAAGACTAAGAAATGAAGCATTATCCAGGAATCTGAAAACCAAAGGCATTTAACTCTGTGTTATTCTAAAGAGAAATTCTACAGGGAAATTGGCTACCCTATAATAATAACAACTGCATTTTGAAAGCGTGATCAGATATGCATATATATACACCCACTAATCTCAGGCAGTAAATATGTATTATATTTATCTATTTTTAGTTTCAAACCAGCAAACAATGTGAAAGAAATGGGTTTATTTATTCATACTTACTCCTATTTATGTAACTAGAGACCATTGTGTTTGACTCGATTCACCTAAATAAGAAAATCATGTAACTGGGATTTCTGGGGATGGGACATTTTCATAATACATCTACAAAGTAATCTCTTCATATAATATATTAATATATGGTTAGAACAGAAAGGCTGCACTCCCCTAAACATGCTTTATAAGGGTGTTTGCTGGTGGCCAATAGATTCAAGACGCACGGTATATCGTGCTCCACTTCAAACTAACTTTAAAGCCCATAACGTTTTTAAAAACATCCAACATAGGTGAAAATAATGAGGATTTATATATATTTATACGAGGATACGTTGCATAAGACTGCCACAAAGCCAATCTACTCAATTTGTGGAAGGTAATACTTTATATCAATCCAATGACTGGTTGAATGGGATTATCCAATGTACTAAAACATCCATTGTCTTGGGGCTCACTGCAGTTCAAGGTTTAGTGTAGAGTAGTTGGTATAGAATAAGAACTGCCAAATTTAGCCTACAGTTGGTGATGTTGCTGGCTTATGCAATGTATGGTAATATACCGAAACTAAATATCAATTATTTTTTAATGTGTTTTAAAAAACTTTGCAGATGTTAAAGTTTGTTTCGACCAGGACCAATGTATCCCCATTCACAAGTGCCGGGAGAAAGTGATCTGAGATCAATTCCTCTACGTGCTGCAATACATAAATTGAGAATTGTCCTTCACCACCTTTTCGCATTAGCAGATATCTGGAGTTTCACTGGGTCTCCTGATAGACCAGAGTCTGTTTGGCTCTAGCAGCCTTGAGTGCTGTGCAAAGACACCTGGAGTGCCGTGCATGGCACACGTGTCATAGGTTGCCTACCCCTGGTTTACTACATCTCATTCTTTTTGTGGTGCTCTTTGGAATGCACGGTTAGTGTGTAACTCCATGAAAGCTACTGGCATTCACAATCTCTTCATCTCTGGCTCCTTAAACCTCCTAACACTAACTAAAACCTGGCTCTCTCCCTCTGACACTGCTACCCCTACATCATTATCTTATGGTGGATTGTATTTATCCCACTTTTCCAGGCCATGTGATATTAAGGGTGGAGGTGTATGTTTTTTGCTCTCTCCTCATTTTTCTTTCCAACCTTTGCCCCCTTGTCCTTCTCTCTCCTTTTCCTCTTTCGATGCATTCATCTCTTCAATCTTCTCTCAACTAGGCATGTGCATGGGGAAGATTTTCGGTTCAGCATTCCAAAATTCGGGACTTTCGCAATTCGGGACTTCGGCAATTCGACACTTCAGAAACTTCGGAACTTCAGCATTTCGGAATTTCGGTACTTCTCTTGCAGCTGCTTAGTAGATAACTCCCTAATTCCCACGGTATTAGGGAGTTATCTACCAAAAGGCTGAAAGACCTAAATTGGTCTGTCAGCCAAATTTACTAATACTAAGTAAAAATTACTTAGTATTGGTAAATTTTGCCCGTACTCGCTATACCGCGAGTAGGGGCATGTCTATTAAACAGTGAGCAGTCTCTACATTTACCTGTCAAAGCACTCTGATTGGTTGGCTTGAAATCCACCAATCAGAGTGTTCTTTGTCATTTTACACAGCGTGGGAAAGTTCTTTGGAATTTTCCCACGCTGTGTAATTTGACTCATAACTCTCTGATTGATTACTTAATCCACCAATCAGAGTGTTATGAGTCAAATTACAGAGAACTTTCCCACGCTGTGTAAAATGACAGAGCACTCTGATTGGTGGATTTCAAGCCAACCAATCAGAGTGCTGTGACAGGTAAATGTAGAGACTTACCTGTCAGTCTATTCATTTACCTGTCAGAGCACTCTAATTGGATGGCTTAAACCCAACAATCAGAGTGCTCTGAGCCTAATTGCAGGGTGGGGCAAGGCTTTATAAGCCTTCCCCCGCCCTGCAGAGCTCAGTCTGCGCGGAGCCCTCCATGGGTGAAGATGGATTATTCCTTTTTGCGCTCATTTTTTTTTATTTTAAGTGTGCTTGTTATTATGGATTTTTTATTTGGCCATTTTTGGGGCTGAAAAAAGAAGATTTTAGAAGAAAGAAAACATCAAATGGTAAGTTTTATTTTTTTTTACAGGTACTTAGTTAATGGCCCCCCCTCATTATTTTTAGGGTGAGGGGGGTAGGTAGGGGTTAGTTTTTTTCTGGTAGGGGGGTGACTAGGGGTTTGGGGACCTCTAGTCACCTGGCTGGGTAACATTTTTTTTAGGGCCCCCACGCACCGCTCAGGGGTGGGGGCCAGGGGGGGAGGACATTAGGTCCCCTCCCTTATTAGTATTAAGGGCACCCACCCACTGCTCAGGGGTGGGGGCCCGAGGGGAGGACATTAGGTCCCCCCCTTATTAGTATTTAGGGCCGGGGGGGGCAATAGGTTCGCCCCTTCAGGTTAGAAGCCCCCACTCGCGCGGCACGGGTGGGGGCTCGGGAGGGGGGCCATAGGCTGCTCACTGTTTAATAGACATGCCCCTACTTGTGGTATAGCGAGTAGGGGCATATTTTACTAATACTAAGTAATCTTTATTTAGTAAATTTGGCTGAAAGACCAATTTAGGTCTTTCAGCCTTTTAGTAGATTGCTCCCTAATACCGTGGGAATTAGGGAGTTATCAACTTATTCATTCCTGACATTACATTGACTGGCTAAGAAACTTCCATTTTTTATGAATGTATGTTACTTGATTGTTGTAAGTGTTGCAAATGCTTACAGCTGAATCCTGGCTATGTTTGTATACTTTTTATTTAAAATTGTATACAGTGTAACATTGTTCATTCTTCCACTGGGTAAGTATATTAGTTCTTAGGCAATACTGTGCTTCGGAACTTCGACACTTTGGAACTTCAGAACTTCGGCACTTCAACACTTTGGAAATTCGGTAATTTCGGAACTTCGACAATTCGGTAATTAATCTATTCGGACATTCGGAACTACCCCAATGTCCAAATTGCCCGAAATTTGTCCAAATTCACATTCGGACCGAAACTAATTGCACATGTCTACTCTCAACCCATGTTGCTGTTATGAACCAACACCATGACTCTTCTCTACTATTCCTTGATCAATTTTCTGCTTGACTTTTTATTCTCTCCTCTGACATACCTACCTGTCACATCCTGTTCCTCACTGTGGATCATTCTGGCATTGGCTTCTGGTATTCAGTACTCTTCTTGCTGTCCTTGCTTGGTTTTTCTGGTTTTCTGGTCTATGTCTGGTTTTCTTTGTTGCTGGGTTTCTGGGTTCATTCTTATATTCCGTCCCTGGATTTCCCAGTCTCTTGGATTTACTTAAATATTTGTTTTATGTTGCCACACCCGTTTGTTTTCCACTTTCCTTTTGTTTCAGCTTGGACCTGCAGCAGTGTTTCAAGTCTCTGCCCTTTCTTGTAGGTAAGTGCTATTGTGGTTTAGTGTGGTTGTTTTAGCATACATTAGGCAGTGTAGGACCTGCCAGATATGGGGTACATTGGCGTTGTTGGCAGGCTTATGCAATGTATGATCATATAATGTGACTAAATCCCCATACTTTTCATATATAGTGCTTAGTTATGTCTCCTCTTGTTTTGCCTTGTATTTCTTGTCTTATTTTATTTTGTCTTGTAATCCCAGTCCATGTACAGTCCTGTCCAGTCATGCCTATGTTATGTTCTTGTTTTCCTCATGTCTTGTGTACATGTTCAGGATTCTGCTTTCTGTCCTGTTCTGGGTTCTCCTAGTTTTGTCTTGTTTTCATGCATGGTGCCTATCTCTAGTCTTGCCCTGTTCTCCTAGTTTTGTCTTGTTTTCATGTATGGTGCCTATCTCTAGTCTTGCCCTGTTCTCCTAGTTTTGTCTTGTTTTCATGTATGGTGCCTATCTCTAGTCTTGCCCTGTTCTCCTAGTTTTGTCTTGTTTTCATGTATGGTGCCTATCTCTAGTCTTGCCTTGCTTCAGTACTGGATACATCCCTGCTGCAGAGCCTCCCTATTCAACTCCTGGGAGGTCTGCTTAATTCCAAACTCCTAGTTCCTGGGATCCGCATAAGCTGAATCAGGGTTCTGGTATGTGGCTGCACAAATGCTGGTGCTCAACACCAGGGGGCGTGCGGTTAGCCTGCACCAGACCCTGCTAATCCACCTCCACACTGTGACTCCTACTCTGAACATCAGGCATTCTGGGTCCCAGGCACCGGACCACCACCCTGACACTACCCTCATCTAATGAAGGTTGAATCCAGGTTTAATCCCATCAATAGGTATTAAATTACTATTCTAAATTTAAAAGATAAAACAAAACACAAATACTGTTCTCGATATATCCTGATCTCTGGCAATTTTCAGGAATGGAATCCAGAAAAATTGATAAAACAAAAGCAAATAGCCCTACATGTTTCGACTATTACGCACGGACTTTCTCAGGGGTGAATAATCACAAATAAAATGCTTTAACAAGTTGTGTTGATCTTTCTCTTTTTCTTCAAACCCTCCACAACCATGGACTCTGTGACACTGTACTAACCTGGTTTTTATCCTATTTCTGAATGCAAATTTTTCTATTCCTCAGCAAATTTCCTCTTTATTTAACAAATACCCCCCCATTCTCATTTACTTAAATCTGCAAGCTCATTTTCACACTACCAACTATTATTTGCAGGATTTTTTAATGGCTGCCCCGTTTCTATTGAATTCCCTACTCTGTGCCGTTGGTCTCTTTTCTAGCCTAGAGTCCTTCCCAGAAATCACTAAAAGAATACACCTTTTTAGGAAATACTGCCATTGTTTTCTGTGCAATCCTCCTCTCATAGCCCCGTTCTCTCTATCCTTCCATTCGGGTCTTCCACACACCATTTTGACTAGCTTATTTCAACACAGGTATCTTATTCATCAATCCCTCCAACCCTCTGACATGCTATTATTACTCTTTTGTGTTTATACCTCTTCCTCATAGATTTTAAGATCTTTTGAACAGTGCCTTCTTCACCTCTCATCTATTAATATTTTGTATGCCAATTACTTTTGTCAAATTATCCCCATTCTATTATCGTAAATCAACGAAGAATATCTTGATGCTACATAAATAACTATAAAGTTAAGCGAATTTGGTACATTATATGGATATACACTAACCAGCCACAGCATTAAAACCACCTGCCAAAAATTGTGTAGGTCCCTCGCATGCTGCCAAAACAGCTCTGATGCTTCGAATCATGGATTTCACAAGACTTCTGAATCTGTCCTGTGGTATCTGGCAGCAGATCCTTTTAGTCCTACAAGTTGCGAGCTGGGGCCTCCATTGGTCAGATTTGTTGTCACAGCACATTCCACATATGCTCAACTAGATTGAGATCTGGGGAATTTGGAGACCAAATTTCCACCTCAAACTCTTTGTCATGTTAATGACCATTCCTGAGCATTATTTACAGGCAGGGTGCATTATCCAGTTGAAAGAGGCCACTGCCATCAGGCAACATCATTCCCATGAAGTACATGTATGGTCTGCAACAATCTCTAGGTATTTAGTACGTGCCAAAATAACATCCACATGAATAACAGGACCCAAGAACATTGCCCAGAGCATAACACTGCTTCTGCCTTCTACCCATAGTGCATCCTGCTGCCTTGTCTTCCCCAGGTAAACTATGCACACTGACCAAGCCATCCACCTGATCTAAAACATCAGACAACTGTCTTCCATTCCTCATGCTCATGTCCCCACTGAAGGAGCTTATGACGGTGGGCAGTGATCACCATAGGAACTGTGATGGGTCTGCAGCTACACACCCCACAAAGCTTGCTGTTTTGTAGATGCTCTGACCCAGTCATCACTATTTGGCTCTTTTCAAAATCACTCAGATCTTTTTGCTGTCCCATTGTTCCTGCTTCCAACACATGAAATTCAAGAACTGACTATTCACTTGCTGCCCAATATATATGACATCAGTTGACAGGTCATTGTCAACAATATAATCAATGTTATTCACTTCACCTGTCACTGGCTTTAATGTTGTAACTGATCAGTGTATAACATAAGTATATATACAGGTATATATATATAAAGATCAACAAGAAGGAAGGCTGCTCTCGGGACTTTAAAATAAAAAAGTTTATTCAAATAATATTAAAAAACCACGACCAACGTTTCGGTCCCCGTTCGGGACCTTCTTCAGGGTCAAAAATAGGACAACAAGACAATATATATAATCTTCTTTAATAGAGTGCATTCAGAAGAATTTTTCAATCAATACTGCTTTTTTGTTCAGTTTGTGCAAAGGAAGTCGACATTTCAGTCCTAACTGGACTTTTCTCAAGAGGAGTTCTATATTCAAAAAATGCGCTTATATAGGTATGTATGAACTAATAAACCAGAGGGTGGGTGTGATGAAAGAAAGGCTAATGATATCATTAAGGATGTAAGCACATATCAAATAACACTTATTTAAACCATGAGGTGTAGGACCATGAGTTCTATAGCACACACCAAATGTGATAAGAAGTAACACAGAAAATTATGATATATGTGTGATTGACATATACAAAGTACTGTATACAACTATTTACAAAAAAAGCATACAGTATTACTGTGAGATATGGAGGGTTGATGTTACTAATGTTGCATGCTTGAGTTTTTACACTGTGGCACAGACAAGACCAGGAGAACGTGAGTGTGGGGCACAAGGGTGTTTGTATGACAAAGTTTAGTAGCGAGATCTCATGTACCAGACCCACTGAGGTTGATACAGTAACATGAGCAGTATGGATGGTTTTATCACCAGAAATACTGCAGTTTACTGAGGAACAAGCTGCTGCTATATTATGACCACAGACAGATGCAGATTTACAGGCCTCCTCTGATCCTAAGGATATAATCCGAGATTTACAAAAACTTCAGCAGAAGAAAATTGGCCTGGAGTTTTATGCAATATATTTATCGGATTCTTACAGAAACAAAAAATTCTAAGAGGCTTCAGAACTAAAAATATGCCAACGATCGGTAGACACAACCCTGAAATCTGCTGTAAGTGGATTGGCATTTTAAATAAATGCTGCTTGGATCTCATGCTAGTGTTAATCAAAGAAGTGGGAGAGAGTTAAAGATTACAAAGTATAAAATATCAGAGTATGAATTAAAACATAGGGTTACCTTGACAACACAAAAATGGTGATGCATTAATTCAGGAATGATCAGATTTATGATTGAAAAATTCTAAAAGATACATAGAAACATAGAATGTGACGGCAGATCAGAACCATTCGGCCCATCTAGTCTGCCCAATTTTCTAAATACTTTCATTAGTCCCTTGGTTGGTTAAAAAGACAAAAACATGATAAAACCTGATAAAGTCAGAACGTATCTACTGGAAAACCTGTTGCAGTTTATTTTGTAGAACCAGGCTTGGGTCTGACCAGGTACCCTATACACAACCCCAACAGAATAAGGGGAACCATAAATACAGATCTTCCCTCTCCATAAAACACTTCACCTGGAGAGGCCAGAAGGAGAAAATGTACATGTCCAAGAGGACAGCTGCAAAGCAGGTAACAGAAACCCCAATAATAAATTTATCTCAGAGAACCATCACAGATCATGAAATGAATTTGTTGTCAAAAGGGTTATCGTTTTTACCCAAAACAGGCATTGATGAATTTAATTGGTAAGTGGGCCAGTTTAGGTTCACATGAAAATTACATTTGGCTGACTACTTTAAGGACAAACCAGAACAGAATTTTGTACTCTGGACCAGAAACTTTTAAATTTAGCAAATCCTCCATCTGCAAATGCTTTCTTGAAGTAGGCAAGATTGACAGTAGGCATATCCTCTCTCAGAAAAGAGGAGTTCAAATATATCCAAGGTAGAGAGGGATGCACTTAAGCACTTGGCATCCTACTTGTCCATCACTATCCTCCCAGGGGATAAGGGAGGAGCCATTGTTCTTATGGATTATGAGGACTTTAGAGGAGAGATCATGAAACAATTTTCAAATTCCAACTTTTACAAATATTCTGAGACTGATCCTGTCCAAGATTTCAGTACCCTTATACAGAAATAACACCTAACATGGGTACTTGAAGCTGGTTATACTGGAGTCAGATTATCTTTTTGAGTCTCATCCCTGGTGTCTGGTACTATACACATTATCTAAGCTACACAAGGACCCAGTTCACCCACCAGGTTGTCCAATAGTGTCTGCTACTGGAGGTCTATAAGAACTGATCAATACTTGGTTGAATATCCTTATCAAAACACCTTTGATGTGGGGGTGGAGTCTAGCAACAGACAAGGAAGGTCGCATGGCCGCAGAGCTCCCGACTCCAAACGAGCTAAATAGCTGCAAACAAAACCCAACCACTACCCAAACACCCCCCAGAGTGCCCCACGACTTATCTGATCCACATGGGCAGAAAAACAAAAAAGCAAAAGCCCGACAAGCCCCGTCTGGGCATGAACATCGGGTATATGTAGAAGCAGGCCCATGAGACAGCCGGTGCAACAATGGCGTCCCTGCACGGAGGATGTTCTGATTTTTCGGACGGAACATCCGATGAAGGAGAAGGGAGCTTCATGCCGACCAGAGCTCCACCACGGCCAGACAGGCCTCGAGTGCCTGCATCAGCTCCCACACCGGTGACCATGGAGGCCATCAGAGAGCTCATGGCCGCCCATCACAGCAAAATCTCAGCAGAAGTGGCCACGATAAGGGAAGATCTGAAAGGCCTCAGCACGGCTCGGGACCGTGGAATGCACCTCTAGTGGCCATACACGCCAGATAGAGGAGCTGAAAGCAGCAGTCCATGACCTAAAACAACTAGCATCACTCCATGACCAGCAACTGGCCACACAAGAGGATAAACAATCTAAAGCTAAGAGGTGTCGCTGACTCTGTGCCCGAGGCAGAGCTCCCACATTATGCCAGGCAGTTGCTGACTGCGCTCCTAACCCCGAAAGCGGCCAAATCCATAATATTGGACAACATCTTCCGTATACCACGGCCAGCTACAGCACCACCAGCTGCCACAGGGGACATAATCCTCTGATTTCAAAGCGCGAGGGACAAGAGGGCCGTTCTAGAAGCCACCAAGGGCCTAACAACCTATACTTTTGAGGACATGACTCTGTCGTTTTATGCAGATCTATCAAGTGGAACGCTGAACTGGAGAAGATCTCTCAAACAGGTTACATCCTTCTCGAGGCAGAAACAACTCAGGTACCGCTGGGGCCCAGGCCGCGCCCTACACATAGAAGGCGGAGGCGGCCCTCAGGTGGTGCGGAACCTACAAGAGGCCACAAGGACACTGGAAGACCTGAAACTACCACTGATGGCACTGGACATCACGAATCCACCGGCTGGGACTACAAGCAGCCTAGGGAGGAACGCGGTTGGCGCACAAATCTTTGTGCCACGACAACCC